AAATTATAAGAACCCGAAAAGTTTAAAGGTTGGGTATTGGGGAACGAAGGAAATGATCCCAGCTAGTAGGGTTTAGGGTTTAGGGCTTAGGGGTTTAGGGGTTTAGGGGTTTAGCCGTTAGGGGGTTTGGGGTTTAGGGTTTCGGGTTTCTGGCTTGGGGGCTTAGGGTTCTGCCCCCAACTAACAGCTTAGGATTGAGGGTTTAAGGGTTAGTACTGATGCGTGGGCCTGAATAAACTAGAGGGGGGTTTTGGGGTGACTTGCAGCATGGTACACTTAGAAGTGGGTGGCGAAACCCTTAAACCCTTTGTGTTGTGCCATGTAGGTTTGCAGTGGTAGTGTTTTGCGTGGCTTCGGGTTTCTGAGCTGCTGACGTCATAAGCTGACAAAAGTGCAAACTTTCAGTTTCATAGGGGATTCGGTTTAGGGATAAGGGTTTAAGGTTTAGAAGCTGTATAGGGGATTCTATGATCCCAAAAAGTCCCCCCCATTTAGCCAGTAGGGTTTAGGGTTTAGGGTTTAGGGTTTAGCCACCAAGGCAAGGTTAAGGGTTAGAGCCTGTGGGGACTAGGTGGGCTCCAGGAAACTAATTTGCGTGTTCAGGGCTCGACATACACTTACTCTTCTTCTCCAATAAGCCAGGGAAATAAAAGGTTAAACTTTCAGGTTACTACTAAATTATAAGAACCCAAAAAGTTTAAAGGTTGGGTATTGGGGAACTAAGTACTTAAATGCAACATTACTATCCTTGTTAGGTATGGCTAGTTGTTGTAGGTCCTTTGGTCCCCTAAACTCCTATACTACGCACCCTTTGAGCCCCGAAGGAGCATTCCTGATTCCTGAAACTATGAGACTTCTTACCTCGACTTGCGGAAGATTCCTGAACATATGCAGCACTTCTCTTCATGGCTCAAGCAATATACGGGAGCTTCCTGGTCTTGGGGTCCTTATCAGAAGGATCCTATTATTTAGGGTACTATATTAGGGTCCCCTATTTCCGGAAACCCCCAGATGATAGTAAATTCCTCAAGATGTGCGCAAGCCTTCTTGCTGAGACCTAAGAAATATTCCCTATTTGCAGAGTGCTGGTTCTCAATACCGCCACAAGTAGGTTGTTGGGCTCCGTGGGTGCAGGACGAAAGCTGCTTCAGTCGGCGATTGGAGGGTGGGGACCTTAGCTTACTAGTTAGTTTAGGGGTTTACAAGCTCCGCAACCCCAATTAAGATTCCATTTAGGTACTACCTACTACCTACTTACTAGCCCCCGGGACCCTCGAAGCTTGGAGGAGCCAAGCCACATCAGTCTCGGTGATCTCCTTGAGAACTACCTCAAGTTATTTGAGCGAGGGGCGACGTAACTGTTGGTTCTGGGTGTTCATAAAACCCTTTAACAGAGCCCGTATGGTCCTTGATTCATAGTGGGTATTTGGGGAAAACAGGGGGTCTAAGTTCTTGTAGGAGGTTTGATTGGTACTACTACGATGCTGTAGCAACCGCGTAAGGGCTGCCAACTGCCTAAGGCTGCGACAGTAACTTGGAGTAATTTAGGGCACTATGCAGCCTAGATATGCAGGGACTAAGACGGAGTGCGATTACTACCAGTCTGCCACGGTCATGATATGGTTGCCTTACTTATTTGAAAAGGGTTTGGAGGTATACTGTAGTACAGCTGTACTGACGACGAGCCCTATAGGTCAGGAATGGGATTAGTTCGTAGTCAGGCCTTCATATTTTTTCACGGACATCTGTCGGTCAGAGAAGCGAATCATGCGAGCCTGTGGCACATTAGCCAGCTCAGAACTTACTTACAGTTTAGGGTTTAGGGTTTAGGGTTTAAGGTTTAGGGTTTAGGGTTTAGGGTTGGGAATGATGGCGTCGGCACGTGTCAAGAGGCAGAAAGTTGAGGCTTTCTAGCACCTGCGGAGAAGCTTGTCGTTTAGGGTTTAGGGTTTAGGGTGCGCTACACAATGAAGTGTTGCTCAGGCTTCTATATTACCAACATGTCTCAAACCCTAACTCTTCAACCCCACTTCTGTCTTATGAGGCCTTCAAACCCAGACCCCCGGGAGGATCTAGAAAGGAGATCCCCTAATTTGGGACCCTATACTGCTAAAGGGCACTTGATAGGAAACCCCCCTTAAGGATCTACTCCCAAAGCCCTACAAGCCCCTTATAAATCCCCTATAATCCCTATAGATCCCTTTAAAGGAAACCCCCCTTAAGGGATCTACTTTTTGGATCCTCCCGGGGGTCTGGGAAAGAGAGCCCATGACATGATCTCACAACTCTACGATTAAACCGAGTACTTGAATACTACTGTTTAGGGTTTAGGGTTTA